ACAGCGAAGGTGAGCCGGCCCGCGCGGCTCCCCCTGCTGGCGCGCGCGGGGACCGCAGCGCTACCGAGGCGCAGGGCTGGACCTAGGGACAGGGTGGCTTGGGGGGAGTTGAGGGGTACTAACACCACGCTTCATTCATTCATCTGAGAGCCTACGATGTGCCAGGCACTGCTGGGCACTCGGCACACAAGCGAGCAGTCAGATGCAGTTCTCATCTTCCTGGGGCTTGTAGTTTCAGGGAGAAATAATGAAATAATTCCTTATAGTCTAGGGGGAAGCAATCAAATCATCCCTTCATTAAATGTATACTTACAAGCTGTAACAAGTGCTATGTGAGAAACGTGCACGGTGGTGGGAGAGTATATATAAGGTGACAGGACCTAGTTGGGAGCATCCTGGAAGGCTTCTCTGAGGAAGTGACATGTGGTGCAAGATTGGAAGGCTGGTTAGAAGTTGGCCAAGATAAAATGAGCAGTAAACAGTAGTGGTCCCTGCCTTTTCAGAGTGGTTTGTGGTTTGCATGAGGCTTTCATAAACATCCCATTAGGTTCCATGAAACAGTCAAGTGTAATTATTCCCATATTCAAGACGAAGGAAGCTCAGAAAGTTAAAGTGACTTTTCCTAGGTCACACAGCTAGTGAAGGGCACCAGAGCCAGGCTGCATGATCCTAAGTCAGGAGAATTTCTACCACCTCACACTGGCAGCTGAAGGAGACAGACAGGCCACCACACAGGCTATTTTCTCCCCCCTTCCCCAAAAGATGACAGCCGGGATGCCAGCCCACCTGAGCCCGCCAGCCCCACCATCGGCCTGGACAAGAAGACTCGCCGGAAGTTCCTGGACCTGGGGTAAGGGCAGGAGGGGCCAGAACGAAAGGCTTGGAGCTGATGGGGCACAGGGTAGCACAGTGGGCAGCACTCCCCACTCCCCCTTCTTTCCCCATAGGGTCACCTTACGCCGAGCATCTACTAGCAAGAGCCGGAAAGATAAGGGCAGCAACCGCCTGTCCATGGGCAGCAGGTAAGAGGTACCCACTGCGCCTCAGCTACAGATTCTGCCCATAATTCCCTGAGGGTCCGGCTCTTCCCGCGGTGCCCACACCCATGCGGGGTGCTCTCTCCACAGGGAGTCGGTGGAAGGGTCCAGCAGGTCAGGGGGCTCCCCGTTCCTGCCCTTTTCCTGGTTCACGGACAGTGGCAAAGGCTCAGCGTCCTCCGGCAGCACCACCTCCCCTGCCTGCTCCCCTAAACATGAGAGCTTCAGCCCTAAGAAGTCAGCTTCTCAGGTAAATCCATGTCCTTCTTGCCCCCGTACTGGCCCTTGAGCTCAGGTGACGTGAGGGCATACTCCACCCTGGCTCAGGCCGGGATCCTAGCGTCCGTTTGCCCTTCATAGAGCCATTCAGTGATTCATTCATTCATCCATCTTTGAGTTTGTGCATTCACTTGTTCACTCATTCATATTCTGAGTAGTTAATTTGCTCATTCATTCATTGCTTCATCCATTCAACACACATCGCTGAACGCTGTGAGTCCCCTAGCATATACCCATTCCTGCTAACTTTCCTGCCTGACACAGTTCTAGCCCCATGTCCTGTCTTAGGAGCTGGGCGACCTGCATTGGGGGGGTGGTTTGGGGGATACAGAGATGGATAGGATCTCAGCCTAGCTTGTGCTCACAAAGCGCACAACCCTGTGGGAGAAGTGAGGCCAAGTAACAGAAGCAACAGTGAGCATCTGCTTATGTCCACACAGCACTCTATAAAGTTGCAAAGCATGTTTGCGCTTTATGCTCACGAAGGCTCAGTGAGGTAGGGAAGGCAGGCATGCCCACCCCCATTGTACAGATGACCAAATGAGGCCCAGGAGAGAAGGGACTTGCCCACAGGCACACGTGGACTGACTCGCCAGGCTCTACCCCCAGCCCAGCGTTTGTTCTATGGTTCTGTTCCTTATTTGCAGCTGGGGTAGAGGAGAAGATCAGAAAGCTAGGAATTTAGGGGGGAAGGGGTCTCTTCTCACCTGAGACTTCCTTCTTTCTTCCTTCCCAGCATGCCCTCCATTTCTTCCTTCCCTTGTGCTGGGCCCTGGGAGTACCACAGTGAACAGACACAGCCCAGTCCCTCACAGAGTTCACAGGCTAGTGAGGACAAGGACCACTAATCAGGCACTTATCAGCCAAGGCACCAGAGGCCATGGTGGGGAAGCAGCAGGCAGGGACACCTGACACAGCGTAGCGGAATCCCTGTAGGAAGTGCTGACTTAGTCAGAGACCTCCTTCATTCCTGCTAACTATTCTGCCTGGCTCAGTTCTAGCCCCATGTCCTCAGAGGCCTCAGATTCTGATGCTTCTCAGGAATCACCATGTCATATGTGCCTGCCCAGCTCGTGCTCATGCATAGGGTGCACTGAGCAGCTCCTGGTGCCTAATCTAGGACTTCATCTCCATCCAGATGGGG